CATATGATGCTACGATGCACAAGCATTTTGCATGCTTGGTTGCACCTTAACAGTGAATTACAATTGCAACTTATTCCTAATCCAGGCATATGGGTAGTGGGTGGATTCCAACAGCACCTGAATCTAATATAAATGCTACAAAATGCAAAAACAGCCTAAATGACATATCAAACCAGCAATTATTTGACCTTAAAAATAGAAACGGTATGAAGGATTTCAATTCACCTAAAGCTTGTAAAATTAATATTGCTTCTTGAATCGTACCAGGTGGAAGCACACGAACAGATGTCGGGGTATCGCAAAATTCATTAGCAGATAGCTTTATTCGAACTGGTTTATCAGGGGGAGCAGTCATGATCTTAAGAATCGAACCTTCTTCACAAATTGATCCAGAAAGATAGTGGAGGGTGCGATATCGCCTTGATCCTTTGTCCACTGCTTTGCTTGTGAGCTTTTCACAATGAAACACACCAAATAAGTATGCAATGCCATCAGAGGCAAGCATGTAACAAGTATGACCTCGTGCAAGCAGACATGCGTACGAGTGCGCACACAGCACAATTGTTACAATGAAAAAACCATATGTAGATAAATTTGACTAGCCACAACTTTGCGCCTGAAAGTATAGGGTTTAAATGAAATGTTGTACAATGAGAGCACACGGGAGGAACCTGGAATCGTATGGCAGAACCTTCCACACCACAGTATGCAACCAAACCTGTGCATGATTTCACTTATTCGTTACAGTTCAGTTCAAAGAAAAAGTAAATGTTTTCTTTATAAGTAATAAAGTATTTTTAATTAAAAGCAAGATAGATCACAAAGAAGGCTTCACATCTATAGGGACATAAATCGAAAGAAAGAAAAAAAGATAAGGTAAATCAATGGCTACAATTACTGTCAGACAAAAACCGAAGCTACAATATACATGAGAAGAATACATGAAATCAATGGAGTTAAAGGATCTTAATTACTAACAAGAGTAGAATACCAGTTGCCTGAGAAATTTGCACGCTCCAAATTGCAAATGGGGAACAAAAATAACTTTGCAGTCCTTGAAGTGGTGTTCCAACGAACGGTTTCCCAGTAACAGGAACATGAGATGTGGCATTCAACAAGCTCAAAATACGTAGAGAACCATCATCTAAGGATAGTATAACACATCTAAAGAAAAGAAAGCAAAATGAGATCCTCTCAAACAATAACTGCAATAGTCGCACTAGTGTAATCCTACGAAAAAAGCATGAACATTTCATTTCTTCGTGTCCAAGAAATGCTAAAAGCATAGAAAGAATGGAAGTAAATTCAAGATGAGATAAATACCTTGGGTCTTTTGACCAGTCTATGCTCAAAATGACTGCTCGTGACAAGTGAAGATCCCACAAAGGGCGGAAGGGATCACTGCAGTGGTTAAGAAAAATCATGAATCTCATCTAGTAGCTCATGAAACCTTTGAAATGGTTTTGACAAGAAATTAGGGCGAAGAATTGTTGAATTTTTCAACAGACCCTTAAATATGAGAATACACAAAACAAGAACAAAAATAATTGTTGAAATAACCAAGAAAATGAGATTCACATTTGATCTAATAGTCAAAAAAGAGAGACTAATCAGTAAAGCTATCTGAGATGCTTAAATTAGTATTCCAGATGTCAAGATATAACATTCATATGCAAGATATCAAAAAGCATATATGTTTAACTTTTGTTAGAAATGACTATTTTTAACCCTTCCAAAATAGCCTACATATTCTTTTATCAAGGATCCATCAATAGAGGAACTGCTATATGCCCATGTTAGGATGTATATCAGTCTTTAATTTCATTATGTGCAATTTATTTACAGGTTAGAGGGTAGTTTTGTCATATTATTGTATAGGGATATTCATGTGCTTTGCACAAACAGGCCATCCGTAACTATGGGATTAGTTTCTAATTTTTTTGATGAAAATTCTCTCCAAAAGTTTGAGTCTAACATGGTACCAAAGCTAGGGTTGAGTAAAAAACCCTCACCTGCTTGAATCTATAGGGAAAAACAGTCCAACATATAAAAATCAATTAATACTCTATGAGGAATCTATCTTTGAATTTGGATCAAAAACCTAAATCTCTAAACAGCTCAAAACCCTAGATTTCTGATCAGAGATCATGAACTGTAGCAGTTATGTAGTGGAACCATAAGGATACTGTAGTGATCGCTTTAGTGGTATTGTAGTGATCATTGTAGTTGTCCATAAAAATGTCAACACTTCCATATAATCATTCAAAACCCTAAATTTCTTTTGGGATTGTCTTCCCTAGTTCTGCTGATCCCTTCAATATACACCAGTGTTTAAAAAAAAAACAAACAATGACCCATACCGGTCCACTACGAGTTCCGTTATGGATTAGAGAACTGGAGCAGCCGACCGTTCTCTAAGGAAATTCTGTAACAATAATAATTATCCCGGGGAAACGGGGCAAGTCCAAGGGCCCCAAAGATCCAAACCGCCCACCCACCAGTTCCAAGCCGGCTAGGGTAGTTATGAGCTGGCCCGTTGGTTTTTAAAAGACTGATACACATATAGGAGATTATTGAAGCCAAATAAAAGAAGTTTCAATTATTGGGTTGGGTGAGGGAGGTCAAGAGTTCAAACCCTTGAAGTTTGTTCCAAAAAACCAAGCAAGCTTTCCATTTTCTAAAGGAAACAACTCAAGTCATAGGTCATCAAGGTAGTGGCGGGCAAGAATGTAACGTCTTGTGTTCGATTCCTACCATGGGCAAGGGAACCCTTCCCTACTGATCAACCCCAAAAGGAAGTTCATCTAGGGCTTAAAGAGGTTTTTCAATTTCTCTCAAATATGTTAGTATAGATCTCTTTTTCAGGTGTTTTGGGGCTTCATTCAAGAGTGCTCAAGTCTTCACTCAAGAGTGCTTAAGTAGCATGAGTTCTTCAATAGCACATCTCTTCAAACTTAAGCCATAATAGGTTCTTATGTAATGTCTCATGGATCCCTTTTCAAGATGGCACCATAGTAGGTTCTTTAAGCACTTTTAGGCCCTTCTTGGTGATGGATACCAATTGTATTATCCAATTCTCCTCATTCTGTCAGGAAACTTGACGCTGCTGCAGTCAGTCACATGATAGGGAATAGTGTTAAAAAACCCAGCGAGTTTGACTTGGACACACACGAATTAGTCACACTCAGCAGCCTGCGAAGCCTAGAAATCCTAACAGGAGGCGGAGCAAAAATCTGAACCACCTTTCTTCTATTTTGTCTCTCATTTGAGTTTGTTTAGATCTCAAACTTCATCGCTAAGCTCTTTTCCCATCCTCTATTAATTGAAAATATCAAATTCCACAAAAATTAAAAAAATTTAGATTTGTGATTCTTTTTTTTTTTTTTTTTTTTTGAACTTGCCTTTGGCCAAAGATATTTTCTAGCGAAGCTTCCACAAACCTAGCTCGATCCACCCTAAAAATTCTTCCTTAAGACTATTGTTTGCAATTTATCGAATCCAAGGTTTAATTTCTGAAAAAAAAAAAAGAAATCCAAAGTCCTGGGTTTGGAGAGATTTTGAGTACTAAAATATTATTTCAACAAAAATTTCAAGAGCATATTCCAATAAAATCAACTTTTAATTATTGTTCATTCGACAGTTGTTGGAAATGATTTCGAATTTGAATCATTTTAGGAATCAGAATCGCGGTAGGCTAAAAGATTCATGTTTCGCAATTGACATCCATACAAGAGGAATTGTGCGAGATGAGATTCCTATTTTATAGAATCGAGATTCAACCAAAATGGAATTGAAATCCCTGCATAGATAGAATCGAAACTCCTAGCTCTATGAATAGAGTTTCCGGCCTATTTGGAATCGACTAATATGGAACCGAGATTCTGATATCTTTGGATCGAGAAGGAACAGTGAGGGAAACAATACATATCTCAATGACATTCATTGACCGACATGCCATATATGCATGTTTTATTATTTGTAGTATATTATTTCTAACATCTTGAAGTTGCAATCTTTCCATTTCATACTTAAAGAATTAAGTAGAGAATGTGGACTACCACTTTCGTTCTATTGGTCATTTCATACCCAAAAAGATGACTACACCTTTTAACTTGAGATTGGGTGTCTTGCTCGAGTTGTTTGATGCCTTGAAAACTTCTAAACATCATTTCTTGAAAAAAAAAAGAAAAAAAGAAAAAAAAGGAAGCGGTAGAATTTCGGTAAATGTGGAAACTAGTTTTAACAAGTTTAGAATCAAGATTCACTAATTATGAAATCAAGAATCAGTAAATATTGGAAACAAGATTCTATAAGTGGTGGAATTGAGATTCTAGACTTCAATGGGTTCCATGAAGATTTCTTGTCAGAAACGCCGAGTTGGAGTTTCGAATAGGAATCGCAACCTTCGATGAGAGATTCGGGTAACTTTGTTTCATCTTTTCCATAGTTTTTCTCAATTTCTATAACTTTTCATATTTTTTAGTTCCCTTTTTAAATTTTCCTGAATTTTCCCCATTTTTTAGGATATTTGGCTAACTCATCCAACTCGAGCAAGGCTCAAAAAGTCGACTTAGGACTTGCTTTGGCACCCAACAAGCTTTGGAGGCAGAGGTTTTCAATCACTAAGTGGAAATATAGGATTACTGCCATCTTCAAACCCTTTTGAAGGAAATCAGTCCGTCTACACTACTAACGGTTCAAAATTTTGTATTAACAAAATAGGCTCACTTAACATATATTTGTTTAATATCGTTTGATCCCTTGTTAATTTTGTTTTCACAAATAGTCTGTTCAATTAATTGATCAAGGTTGCTAGTATCTATTTATTCATGATGTTCACCTAATACGAGAAATATTGAAGAGGAAAACAAGCAAGCCAAATGGGAGAGGCCATAAAGTAGGTCAATTCTTTTAAATTACTTTTAGAGGCATGTTATTAGCAGTTCATCAGTTGCAGTAGTGTCACCTCAGTCACTCCACACTTTAGTATCTCTGGTATAGGCATCTATGTCATCTTGGTTTTGATAGGCTCACAAAGTTATTTAAGTCAGGAACTATCTCCTCTCCATGTAATAATCAAGAGAATTTCACTAATGAATTAGATTGTGATAACTAAGAGCATGCCAAAATCTCCGCATTGCCTTTTTCTTTCTAAAAACGTAAAAGAATATATGTGATCTTGTTCAATATGACATGTGGAGTGTTAGTTTTCTAAAAAAAAAAAATATGACGTGTGGAGCCCTTATACGATACCCAAAATTGGTTCCCGATATATATGTTAGATTTATGGATGATTACTCTCATCACACTTACGTACATTTCCAGAAAAACAAATCTAACATGTCTGATGTGTTTGTTACCTTTCACAATATCAAATCCAGTTTGAAAAGGACATTTAAGATTCTCAAGATTGACTTTGGTCCCGAATACTCATTTAAGAAGTTGATATTTGTTGAATATCACCATGTTAGATTTTATTTATTCTGGCCAATGCTAGTTAACCTGTTGGTGATGCAATTTTTAGAAATAGCCATTATCGTAGGTCTGTGTACATTATTAAGAGCAGCCTTGGCTGTGGTATTACCTGTCATGTTTTGTGTGTGGTATTTAAAAGGAAAAACACCTTGGACATGCGCTTGTTTCTTAAATGCCTTTTCTATTGAAAACATATCTTCCTTTGCTTACTGTTGGATTGTGTGCTATCTAAAATCACCCATATAAAGACATTCCCATATTTTGTGGGATTGATTGAGATATTCTAATATTTGTGGGATTGATATTGATAAGGTTCCTAAAGGAAATAGAAATTCAAAAAGATTATGACTATTTGATGGATATATCTCTTGGTCTTTTGAGATATATGTTATATCAATAGGAAGTTTCCTATTTTAGGTGGATTCCTAATTATATATATGAGATGAAAGTGCAGAGATTTCGTATGCCCTATTTGGGTCACCACATGGAAATGATGGTTCCTCTAGAAAGAGAGAGGGAGGTAGAGCCTTTTGTGTATATGACATGTGATCTTGTTCAATATGACATGTGGAGTGTTAGTTTTCTAAAAAAAAAAAATATGACGTGTGGAGCCCTTATACGATACCCAAAATTGGTTCCCGATATATATGTTAGATTTATGGATGATTACTCTCATCATACTTATGTACATTTCCAGAAAAACAAATCTAACATGTCTGATGTGTTTGTTACCTTTCACAATATCAAATCCAGTTTGAAAAGGACATTTAAGATTCTCAAGATTGACTTTGGTCCCGAATACTCATTTAAGAAGTTTCAAGATTTATCAAGTCACAATGGTATCACCCATCGGAGTATTTATAAACACAACCCAAAGTAAATGGGGTTGCAGAAGATAAGAACCAACATATTATGGGACTGCTCGT